TCTCTCTCTCTCTCTCTCTCTCTCTCTCTCTCTCTCTCTCTCTCTCTCTCTCTCTCTCTTTCTCCCACACACACACACATACTCACAGAGAAAGGATGCTGTGAGTAGATCTTGCAAATCTGAAAGGACATTTCTTCTGTCACCTTTACAACTAGGGAGGAGGGGGTCCTTCTGTTTAGTAACACCGTTAAAGGAGACTGCTTCCCTTGATATATTATTGGACAATTTCTCCTCCCCCCTGGAGAAATTAATAGAAAACATCCAACTTAAGTTAGAGAAGAATTTCCGAAGATAATTTCTGCCAAGCCTTTAAACCCAAAAAAGTTAGCCTTCTGTTGGCAGCAAATTTGTCCAAGAGACTAAAATTGCTTAAATAATAATAAAAAAAACCCCAGCAGAATGCACTCTATTGTCTGCTGTTTGAAATCTAAAAAAGATTTCATCAATTCCATTTTTCTGAAAGTCACAGTTATTGTTTATAACAGTGCCTTTGGTATTTAATAAGTGACCTCATGTTAAATATTCTGCAAGAGTTACCATCGTTTTGGGCTTCTTAACAACTTGCCTCTTTTGTTGTTTTATCAAAGGGTTTAGGGTGTTTTTTTTTCTTTTAAGTGACCATGTATGGTCATGTTACACTGTTAAGCATTAATATGGATCGGCAAAGAATTTGTTGAAACAAAGAGCTATTTTAGAGCTGATTTGGAAGAAAGCCTACCAGTGAAGAGAAAATAGCTCTGCCCTGTTTGTGTAATTAGAAATGAAGATTATACCAAAAAGCTCTTTTGGTAAATGAAAAATATAGACTTATTTTTTTTCTTCTGTTAGGCACTTGAATGACACAGAGAAACAAAAGATCCATCCTGCCTTGAATTCTGAGTGGCTGCATAAGAAAAGATAACTAGGTTTGAAAAAGCGGATCAAGTTTAATAGAGATGGCTACGAAGCTCCTTGGGTAGTACAATCATTCAGACAAATGAGATGTGGCAACAATACCCCTCCAATAATCATAATCGTAACACAGAGCACTTCCCCTTATCCGGTGCCAGAATAACAGATTTGGAAGGGACCTTAGAGGTCATCTAATACAGCCCCCTGCTCCAGCAGGAAACCCAAGACCATTTCAGACAAATGGTTGTCCAATCTCTTCTTAAAAACTTCCAGGGTTAGAGCAACTCATTTGTATGTTTTAGCCTCCAGTCCTCTAATCCAGGGGTTCCCAACCCCCGGTCCAAGTGTGGTCTTACCAAGACATTATAAAGTCACATCCCCTTGCATCCATATTAAGCTGACTCAGCAATAGCTGCAATTATCCTGACCATAGGATGGTGCAACACCATTCTGAGGGATAAAATGGCTCCAGCTACCATTTTGCCTTGCTGCAATGTAAAAAACAAACAAAAAAAACAATTGGACTGGCTGAGAAAAAAACAGCCCCATGTGAGGGCCACGTGGTTTAATAGGGGTTCACATCCAAGAGGATTGGGTAAATTATGGAGCTGGTAGGCAGGCAATGGTGGGAAATTTACCCATGAAAAATGTATCATTTCCAGTGTGTGGAAAATTACTTTCTGTTTCATAGTTTGAATTTTAGGGATCCGAATTAGAAGTAAATGGGCTTTGCTGCCATTGGGAATGCTCCTGCAGAAATTCTAGATGGAGCATCACTGCGGGGTCAGTGCCCAAAGCTACAAGTTATCAAAGAGTCCTGCTCCGTATGTATAAAAGTTAGAAGCAATAGAAAGAATTAGTTGATAATTAGAAAAGCTGAATCTTGAGTGCGTCATATACGGTCAATATTTCCTGGTTGGTGGAATAGAAGTAACAATATGTTGGTTTGCAATGTAGTCTCTAGGTTGGAGATCCTACTTTGCGTACATGAAAAAGGGTAAAACAAACATTAGCTTTGTTTGCCCATCTCTTTATTAAACTAATTGATTAAATTGAAGGAGGAGAAGGAGAAGGAGAATAAAAAGGAGAAGAAAAAGGAGAAGGAGAAGGCTTCAGTGTTCCTCTTCATGGGAAAAGGTATTTAGAATTATTCAAGGAATCAGTTGTGACACTCTTTCTATACCCCTTAAAAAAACTAGATAGCAATCCAATGATATTACAGATACTACTCGGAAATTAAAATCTGCCTTACACTTAGACTTCTGTTCTGTTCAGTCTGCATAAATCTAGCTAAAGACATTCTGTAAAATTTAAAAACATATCAGGAATTTAAATCTGACCACATATCCTTAAGCTAAGGAACCCACTGTGTCTTGAAAGCATGAAATTAATGTTCTGTCAAGCCACTCACAGCCACTCACAGCCAAGAAAGCTCATGGAGTCTCATCATTTAGGGTTATTGAAAGGAAATGAGGTTAGATTACAGAATCTTAGGAAACAGATAGGCATACATTAGCACCCCATTGGGGGCCTCTTTGCTTCATCTGATCATCTTTCTAACTGCCTCTTGATGCAAAGTAGATGTTGCGGTCTCTTCGGTTGATAAAGAAGGAATGTACAGATGTTTATAGAGTACAGATGTTTATGGAATGAGTATAGAGTATAAAGAGTGACACCCTTTACTTCATCATGCTTTTATCTTTACTTTTATGGATTTTGTTGTGATTTCTTCATTTTATTGCTGTGAGCCATCCAGAGGCATTG